TCTCTCTCTCTCTCTCTCTCTCTCTCCTCTCCTCTCTATCCACTTATGCTTACATTTAAACAATGATTGCTTGAAATATAAAATAAAATACATTTTGTGAGTCGAGCCAAGAATTGCGTCAATTAAGGCAAAAGGCATTCAATTGTTGATTGATTAATATAATACACACTAACACTAGAGTATAGTTTTCGTAGCACTTAATGTTGTCATAAATACAAAAGCAAAAACTGTTAAGTGGTTTCAAACATTGCCAGCAATTGATAAAATAACCGCTTCTGAAAAAATATTCTCAAAAATTACTTTTTAAAAGCATTTATTTGTTGAAAATCTTCATTTGATTTTTCTCTTTTCATAAGAGATTGCATTCATTTGTAGACAAATAGCAATTTCACTCATTATTCTGGCCATTGATTTATATTTTTCATAATAGTATCCGTTGTTAAAGTAGTCAACACATTATTATTCTTATTATTGTATACCTATTCTATTGTCTAAATAAAATTCAACAAAATAAACCAAGCACAAATTATTTGCAATATAAATATTATTAATAAATATAGAGTGAACTAAAACCAATAAAGTTTGAGCCACAATTGTGGATAGGTGAATTGCTGTTGCTTTAACTTGTTGACTTATATGGAACATGCAAATTGTATATCCAAACTCTATCCAATGATCAAACCTTATTGAAATTTAAATGTTTTTAGAATATAGTTAAAAATACAATAAGAAATGTTTTATATAAACACTTAACAATAGTTATCTTATCATATTGTATAAGAGTTATGCATTATTATGTTATTTTTATAATAAAAATAAAATTATTATTATTGTTGTTATCAAACTTAAAATATAGTTTTAAAAGTTATTTGTTGTGCAAAATTATATTTGTATTTGTAAAATAAATATTTATTAAACATTTACATATTGTTATTTAAAAATGTAATTCTAACATGTCAATCCATCATGTCAACAAATATTAATTATTATCAAAATACAAATTAAGTATTAATAAAATAATATTTTCATTTTTCTAATGTAAATCCGTTAAATTGTTGGGCAAACTAAACAAATTCATATAAACCGTTAAATACAGTCATTATTTCCCTCTTTATATGCAGAATATAATCCTTCGACGGATTATTTTCTTTCAGTTAGGATTTGCAAAATTTGCGAAATATATGAAAAATATTACGTATAAATATTTAGATTATAATAATTATTTCATTTATGCATTTTATTTAGAATACAATTTAATTTGTTTTAAATACTAAAATTTAAACGTATTATTTTTATTGTCTACTACTTTATATACTTTACAGACTATATTATACTGTATTAACGTAAATGAGAATTGTTTTGATTTAGCAATTATTTCTATATTTAAAATTGATTCGTGAGAAATGGTTTGCAAAATAAGGCCATTTCTCAATGATTATTACATTTAATTACATTTTTGACTAATACTTGTATAAAAGTAAATACATTGAATGGCAATGAATGTAATTTATTAGGAGGCGAAAGCAGATTATGTGGTCTATAAGTCTATATTATATAGTATTTGCTTTGATTACATATGGATAAGAGGCTTAAACTCGAAACAGTATAATAGACCGCAAATCCACAAATTATTAAATACGATTCGCGTACAGAATATACAGTTTTGTATGTATTGAACGTATAATATATTGTAAACTTTATATATAATATACTATAAATGTTAAAGCAATAGGAATAGCATGGGATGAAACGGTGTGCTGAGGACTCTATTAGTGATGTTTTGCGTTCCCATCACTACTCTATTCATGTGAACAGATATATAGTTTAAGAGTTGAAGATTCCGTCAAAAGTAGATTATATGGCAAATGGTTTGAAAAGAAAACAAACACTCCTTTGAATGGAGAAAAGCAATGAATGCAAAGTATGTATGAATGTGTGAATGGGTGCGACTTATGCACAGAAATCAGTGAATTATAGGCAAAAAACTATTGTACAACACATCCATCAGTGGTGGAGAAGTGGTGCTGGACTTCCATCAGTTCCATCACTTCCATGGGTCGCATCCATGAGCTCGAGTGTACTTAACTATAGGAAACCTGTACTGTATGTGTGGTGTGTGTGCATCAGCTCTCAAGTGCTATAATAATAATAATAATAACAATTTATTAATGCATATCAAGTGATCCGACCAGTGATGGGAGGGATCGGCATATTTGCTCATATTTTTGTGTTGCATTCAAAACCAACATTCAATGCGAAGTGTATGTGCTTTCGGTGCGGCTGTAAAAACATTATCAAAACATATCTCAATTCCTTTCAAAACATTTATTTTTTATTTTCTTAAGAGTTTTTCAATAAAAAAGTTTTGTTTTCTCACAAATAATCGCGAACTAACTTAAAATAACAATAAATTAAAACAAATGAAAATATTTTGATTAAAATGTTTGCTTCCATTTGATTGTCTGATTTGCAGAGCATTAAGACTTTGTTTGGACAAAAAGCTAACAGAAAGCTAACAGAAACCTAATAGAGGCTAACAGTGTGTTAATATCGTCAACCACTTAACAATATAGTAATTATAGTGTTTAGAAGCAAAACATATGAAAACATTTACCAAAAATGAACACAACATCAGAATTGAATTTCATTTCAAAAACTAATGTTTGACTCAATAATAGAGCCGAAAGAGTCGGTAATTATTATCCACAGCCTATGCACTCATACACTCTCCCAAATGGCACTAAACTGCACAATACATTCAATTGCTTACAATATTGTCAGATATGGGCGTATCGTTATATCAAATAGATGTTGGCCTCAACTTAATGGACATTTGAAGCAAACAATTACAATAGTGTCCACTAAGAAGACATACTCTGCAAAACTGTTTGCTTCGCCAAAACATTAATGCATTCATACATTCATACAAATACACACAATATATACAACTTTTGTTACTCTTTGTTTGCCTCTACGACTCATTTCTACAATTCATTCACAACTTCACAACAAATAACACTTCATTTCCAATCTGTTTAAAATCACATTCACTTCATTCACTGGCTTTTCCATTGAGGCTATGGTGTAGTAGTGAGTGAAGCACTAGTAGTAGTGGTGGTCAGCAAATCAACGATTCATTATTTCTTATTCATTTGAGATCTTTGGCTAACTTCCGGTGTTTTGATTGTATTGTTGAGCACTTATTTGTTGCAAATTTGTCGCACTTTCTCCCACTCTATCATTGCTTTTACTCCTTAACTCAGTTAAGCTTTGCTTTCGCATTGCATTTCTTCTTAAACTCAATATAACGCTACAAATTGCTCGCAAATATTACATCAAAAATTAAGACAATACTAAACATCGATAAAAAAATTCTCTTCCATCGATCGATGAAATTCTTACAAATAAATCCAAATAAATAAATATCTTATAAAATATTTATTAAAAAAATATTTATTTCGTCCGTTTGTAACTTTTATTATACTTTATAAATAAAATTTTACATAAAATAAATAGATTTACTACATTTTAGTTTTTCATTTTAAAATACAGGGTAGAATAATTTAATTTGTTTAAAAATCTTGCTAAACGTTTAATGACTTGAAGGGAGAGAGAGAGATTGTAAAAGTTGGTTTGAGTATTGAATTTGAAGAGTGTTTTTAATGATTATTATTATCTGTAAGAAGACATGTCGCGTGTGAAGGGGTCTTATATGTGGAGTACGACCTGCGCTACCGTTTGAAGTGAACACATTATCAATGAATTTGATGACAACAGACAATCTATATCAATGAATGTGTCATTTATTTAGCTGTCACTGCGTTTTCGATCACACAGTATACTGTATATGCGATCATATAATTGTAATCAAATACACATAGAGTCAGACAACACATACACACAGAAACACACTATATCTCCGCCTCACCGATGGTTTTCAACCAACCGTTGCTCACATGAACTATAGGTTCGGTCGGTTGTAATTGTGAGAGCCATCAAACCTACCGCACAGAACATTCCTCTCAAATAAAACATTCAAAACTAACAAATCCTAACAAATACTATCCATACAACCTGTTTAAGTGATGGATGCATAACATCTTCAAAATAAATATCAATTTTGTTGGTGTTTTTTGTACTCAAAACTATGCTCTCGTTCGCACAGAATTGGCAAAAGTGAATCCAAATTATATTTTCGTTTATATATCATATCATATCAACAATAATTTATTTATATATTAATATATATCACGACTAAAGCAATAAAAAATATGTGCGAATCCGACAGCAATGGTACGGCTCAGGCTATGATCGCTCTGAGAATGAAGTCTTCGGCCGTTAATCCGTTTTTAGCAAATCCAATGCCAAATGAAAACAACCCACAAATCACATCGACTTCAGTCAACAACATCACTGCCGTCAACAATGCTTTCTCTTTAGCTAATGTAGTCAACCATCGCATCCCTTCCTCGCAGTCTTCACAACATTTTAATTTATCAGATTATCAAAGATTTCAATTTTACGATTACGCCTCTCAGGCGTCAGTTCGCTTCCGATTGAGTCAATCGCCGTTTGGGACACCAAATACGCCCTACAATCTAAGCCCAGGCTATGGACACCCGGCCTTTGCCGACGGACCGCCGTTTGCCGCCGCCATCTCTCCCTTCGCAAGATTTGACTCCCGGTTCAGATTCATTCACGAAGAGCCCAAACCACAGCACAGTTATATTGGACTCATAGCGATGGCTATATTGAGTGCAAACGAACAGAAAATGGTTTTAAGCGATATATACCAACATATTCTCGACAATTACCCGTATTTCCGAAACCGAGGCCCGGGATGGAGGAACAGTATCCGACACAACCTCTCACTCAATGACTGTTTTGTAAAAGCGGGTCGAAGTGCTAATGGAAAGGGACACTACTGGGCCATACATCCCGCAAATATCGATGATTTTAAAAAAGGAGATTTTAGGCGCAGAAAAGCTCAGAGAAAGGTTCGCAAACATATGGGTCTATCTGTTCCCGAGGATGAAGACAGTCCCAGTCCTACACCACCACCGCTGCCGTCACCTAATTTAGTCATATATCATATCATATCAACAATAATTTATTTATATATTAATATATATCACGACTAAAGCAATAAAAAATATGTGCGAATCCGACAGCAATGGTACGGCTCAGGCTATGATCGCTCTGAGAATGAAGTCGTCGGCCGTTAATCCGTTTTTAGCAAATCCAATGCCAAATGAAAACAACCCACAAATCACATCGACTTCAGTCAACAACATCACTGCCGTCAACAATGCTTTCTCTTTGGCTAATGTAGTCAACCATCGCATCCCTTCCTCGCAGTCTTCACAACACTTTAATTTATCAGATTATCAAAGATTTCAATTTTACGATTACGCCTCTCAGGCGTCCGTTCGCTTCCGATTGAGTCAATCGCCGTTTGGGACACCGAATACGCCCTACAATCTAAGCCCAGGCTATGGACACCCGGCCTTCGCCGACGGACCACCGTTTGCCGCCGCCATCTCTCCCTTCGCAAGATTTGACTCCCGGTTCAGATTCATTCACGAAGAGCCCAAACCACAGCACAGTTACATTGGACTCATAGCGATGGCTATATTGAGTGCAAACGAACAGAAAATGGTTTTAAGCGATATATACCAACATATTCTCGACAATTATCCGTATTTCCGAAACCGAGGCCCAGGATGGAGGAACAGTATCCGACACAACCTCTCACTCAATGACTGTTTTGTGAAAGCGGGTCGAAGTGCTAATGGAAAGGGACACTACTGGGCCATACATCCCGCAAATATCGATGATTTCAAAAAAGGAGATTTTAGGCGCAGAAAAGCTCAGAGAAAGGTTCGCAAACATATGGGTCTATCTGTTCCCGAGGATGAAGACAGTCCCAGTCCTACACCACCACCGCTGCCGTCACCTAATTTAGTCAACGCATCTGTTTTTGGACACTCGGCTCTTATGGGGCCGTCGGGTCTTCGCATTCATGCAAATCAAGCCATTTGTGCAAATGAGATGAGTCTCTTCAATGATCTCCGCTTTTCAATGCCGACCAACAAATTATCTGCAAATCAAGACATGAGATCTGTATTCAATTGTCGCACTCAAGAGGACATTCTTGTGCCGTCTGTTTCCCACACAAACATCAAAGCCATAAAACGACAGTTCGATGTCGAGAGTCTATTGGCTCCCGATTGTGACTCCACTGTCGACGACAGTCTCAGCCGAAGTGAAATAATGGACAAAAAGTCGCATTCAATCGTATGTATTGATCACTTAGAAGAAGGCCGAAGAAGTAATACACCGTCGCTAACCTCGCATTCGGACTTTATTACCAACAAAATGGATAGTTTTGACAGCAATAGTTCTTCGCCGTCGATCTCATCCACAGCCGAAAGACAACACTCGCCGCCCGTAAACTCTAAGCAATGTTTGCCGGCAACAGGTCTGCCATTGTCACCGACTTCATGGCGCGCCGCTCACATTCAATCGCTGCAAAACTTGCATCAAATGAATGCCATAAACCAATCGTTACAATCTGTGGCACCGACTGGTTTCGCGGCAAACCTTCCGTGGGCTATGTCTGCGGCCGCGCTCTCCAACGCTCAGATGGCGGCCACTATTCTCGGATACGCTTCGGTCGCTAATCAAGCCTATGATTTGACTTCTGATGCAAACAAGCGATAGTTTATACAGTTCGATGTCGAGAGTCTATTGGCTCCCGATTGTGACTCCACTGTCGACGACAGTCTCAGCCGAAGTGAAATAATGGACAAAAAGTCGCATTCAATCGTATGTATTGATCACTTAGAAGAAGGCAGAAGAAGTAATACACCGTCGCTAACCTCGCATTCGGACTTTATTACCAACAAAATGGACAGTTTTGACAGCAATAGCTCTTCGCCGTCGATCTCATCCACAGCCGAAAGACAACACTCGCCGCCAGTAAACTCTAAGCAATGTTTGCCGGCAACAGGTCTGCCATTGTCACCGACTTCATGGCGCGCCGCTCACATTCAATCACTGCAAAACTTGCATCAAATGAATGCCATAAACCAATCGTTACAATCTGTGGCACCGACTGGTTTCGCGGCGAACCTTCCGTGGGCTATGTCTGCGGCCGCGCTCTCCAACGCTCAGATGGCGGCCACTATTCTCGGATACGCTTCGGTCGCTAATCAAGCCTATGATTTGACTTCTGATGCAAACAAGCGATAGTTTAGCTTAAATTTCTTTAATTAATTTTGTGAAATAATTTTTGGTCGCAAATTCATTCATCTGATGAATGCTTTGTTATTCTCTTAACTAAAATATGGGGTTTTAGTATTGTTTTAGTTAATTACATAATCGATTGAATAATTATATAATATTTGCTTTTAATTAATAATTTATATATCATTAGATTTATAGCCATTTGACTTGAATTAAACATTCAAACCTCTCTTAAGTAAATATTTAAGGAATTAATTATTTTTAAAAAATATGTTATCAATGTATTTAATCTTTTAAACTAATTTATTATATAAACAATGAACTAGATATTAACATAAACTTATAGCTAGATCAAAATAAATAAAAGCTTGAATTGTGATCTTGAATATATAACGAATTGTATTGTATGTATTATCAGCGCAAATGTATTCACACAAAGTGCTGAGTTTGTGTTAGAATTGAATAATAATCTTATACTCTGTACTCATATTATTGATAATTGATTGAAATGAGAGCCAGTAGTTGTTGGCATCAATTTGCAGCTCAAATGTATGTATAAATGTATATATAGGGAGAAAATGAAGTGTCGGATGGCATCTCTGGTGTCGAGCGTTAGACTTATTTGTTAATAAATATTGAACTCATTTGTTCTCATTGTATAATAAATAGACTATTATTTTGTTGATTCGGAACATTGAGTACTACTAACAGTGCTTTTTCGGTGGTTTTGGTCGCTCTCAGCGATTTGTATGAGACGGTGACTGCCGGTGCCGTACAGTGTATTCAATTGTGTACTCTATGCTAAAGAGAGCCAATTTGTGTTGAAAATTGGAGTGAGAGTTAGCCAACCCAACAGCCCAACAGCTAATTCGTATTCCAGTTGAGTATATTTAACAGACTATAACAGTGTATAATATAATACTTTTATTGAGTATGAGTTGTATGAGAGGAGAGCCTCTGGAAATATACTCATTTAGAGCGAGATTTGTAACGGATGTTAGGGATAGGGATGTTAGGGATATCAGAGCACAACTGGCCGGTGATGTCTTACTAACCGTACGATTTCATACTAAATGGCAATCAAAGTCTTAAATTGTGTCATTCGATCGCAAAGACTATTTGAATTGAATTAAATGCCGAATTCAAGTGAGTATGTAATGGAAATGTGATGTATGTATGAATGTATGTAATGGTAATTTACATCTCTATCCAAACTCCAATTCCCGTTTACTTACGGGTTATACACCCATGAGATGCATATAATTATCTGCTGTTCCCTTAAATAATTGACTCTTTTTAATAAATTCCTTTAATTTAACACATTATATGAGTTCACAATTGAATACTTTATGGAAATTGAAGAAAATTTAAAATAGATTTATAAAACTTGTCACAAATAATTCATTTTTTAAAAGGAAAAGTTTTCCGAACAAAACATAGTTATCTCGATATTTGTATTGACTTCTAAAACATTTTAAACATAAAAGTAAATATATATTTCGTACGTCAGAAAACATTTTAAAAGCCTATTTACATACTATTAGTCGTGTATTGTATAAAGAATTGCATAGAAATGGACTTATTTTGAGAGCGCTTTCTCTATTGTATTTAGGAATGAGACTCAACTCAACACAACTCCCAAAACAATTTTGAGAGAGAGAGAGAGAGAGAGAGAGAGAGAGAGAGTTTGTCGAGAGATTGTTTCGCATATAAAACACTATATGATTGTATGATTTCTTTTCATTCATTCAATGGCCTCAGGAGTGAAAGAGAGTAAAAATTTTATTCTTCCAATTTGTTTGCTGTACATCAAGGCGTTGCCAACACTTACTATACTATACCCTACCTCTTACTATACCGTACAGAATAGATATACCGTATTGTGTATTAATAAACCATACAATTCATAAGCATATGTTCAAAGATATGATGTGGACAGGGATCAGGACAGGGATCCGTTCAATTCACAATATATTACAGCTAAATGAACTCATTTTACTCTTAATAAAATCTTTCGCATAAACTATTGTGTTATTATTATATGAATTGCATTGTATTGTATGCATCGATAATTTTATTTACAAAATATCATTGACGAAAGCATAACACTATTTCTACCATTATTTCCATTATTATAGCACTTATTTTAAAGTTCTCTCTCTCTCTCTCTTTCTCTCTCTCTCTCTCTCTCTCTCTCGCTCTCTCTCTCCCTCTCAAATCTCCCTCACTTTGGTTGTGTTGATTCATTTCATCTACTTTTGGTCGTTGTATTGAAATTCAATGCTATGTTTTTTATAGTATGAGTTGTCGGCAAATCTCGCTTTGAGTCTTTCAAAGAGAATGATGAGAACGAATGTTCACTTATCTCACAATTGAGTTATCGCTTCAATATATATAAACTCTGTGGACAAGGATTCATATGGAAGTAACCTATAGCTCGTCTCTAATATAATATGTGAAGTTTAGTGTTAGGCAAAGATTGGCAAAGTATATAAAAGTATATTTTCTATATGTTATATAATATGCTGTAAATACTTATGTGTATACAATACAGAATAGTTGTGTTGAACAACGTTTTACTACATTCTAGTTATTTTTGTGTTTGTGTTCAGAAGTAACTAATGCCTCAAACCATTACTCCAATTAGTTAACCAACCAATCTCTCCCTCCCTCCCTCTCTCTCTCTCTCTCTCTCTCTCTCCTCTTTCTCACTCACTCGCTCACTACATGCACTGCACATGTAAGCAGTGTTTAGCCTCTGAATATAGTTTTTGTGCATTATTCCTAACTTTGCCGATAAGCCCATCATTTGAAACAACTTTTATTTACAATTTTTGGAGTTAGAAAAATGGAAAAATAATATAAACCCAAAGCTTTAACAGAGATGTTCACGCATTATGTCAATATAACATCTCTTCTATTATTAAGAAAATACATTAAAATAATACATTGAATCACAAAATATAATTATTACATACAATCATGCGATCATTTACTGTATTTCCTGAAATAATATTTACAAATTCAATCAAAATGTTGTTTACTTTTGTTGCAATAATTTTTGGTTTAATGCATTAAATTCTATACCAAATCATGTCTAATAATACATACAATATTTACAATGAAGCGAATGTTTGGTTTTGTAGATTTTACTCTGATTTTATATAAAAATAATGATTTTGTTGTTTACTGTATAGAAAAATTTTGCTGTTAATACCAATTTATTATTTTTAATATGCAGTATATTGCTGTATACTGTGTTGTATATGTTGTATAATAAATGATGTACAGTACAATATTATAAGTTATAATCACTTCATATACAGTGATTATAACTGTAGTGTTTCCCTCACATTATATGTTTTGGGAGTAAAATATGTTCAATATTTGTGTTTTATATACAGTAATATTATGAAAATACAATTATCAGTAATTAAAAATTATTTATTGACTATACTGTATAATATAGTCTATATCTCAACATCAAATCTCACATCTCGTAAGAGTATAGGCTATACTGTACTGCACATAGAAATGATAAAACGAAAGAATTGTTTTAAAGCCAAACACGGAATATATTTTACAATAAAACCATTTTTATTCAATCAATTGATTTGTTTAATAATTTGCCAAAAGATATTCGAAATGAGAATAATATTAAGGTTTTCTAAATATAAGTCTATTATTTTATGAACAAATTGTTTAGTTATGAACATTCTAATTTAAAAGTAAAATCTATTTAAATTGTATAAATTCAACTATTATAAAGTATAAACAAGAATTTTAAGTAAATAAATTTATTATTTGAAATTATAATTTTAGTTTTAAAAATGTAATTTAATGATAATATTTTTATATAAAAGTTTGCAAACTTTTCATTTTCTAATGAGATATAAATCTGAGATTTGCTATGATTTAGAGGAAAGAATGGACAAAGAAGTATCAGTGGTTGTGTTGTAGTATCAATACATTGACTGGTAATGCAATACAATGAGTGATTGTTGGAGTGGAGAAAAAAGTTCCTCTCATTAAAGAGAGGAAATGTATTTCGAAACAA